AGACATATATATATATATATATATATATATATAAATACATATATATATATATATATATATATATATATATACTTTTATATATATGGATAGATATATAAATTTTCTTGAGCTTATGTTAAACCCAAAACTTGCCTTAAATATAGTTTATTTGTATTCAGGGTTGTACACCCTTAACATTTTTTGGCTACATTTGAGGACAACTTTCTTTAATTTTTTGAATGCGGAATTGAAAAATTCATTAAACTCCGTCTTTTCAAAAAAAATAGAAATTAAATATTAATATCTGAAGATAACACAGTTTCTGAGAGGAAACTAAGTATTATACAAATATATAACAAAGCTGTAATTTTTTTTAAAAAGTTTGTGAAATTTCACTCGATTCGCTAGACACAGCATAATTCATGCACCGATTCTGCCGCATAACAGACCAATGTTATGGCAAGGCTATGTTATGAAGAACTAAATACCGACAAAAGCCATGTGGTTGCTCTGCAGTCAGGCGTATTTCTCAGGTTGTCAGATAGAGAACCTAACCTAGAAACCGCACAAATGTCAAAAATTCGGTGTTAGATAACAGGGTAATTCTGACCCAGCTTCATAACATACGAGTGACGTTGCAGTTTGTATGTAAAGCGCCTGAATGCACAGCGAAGACATGGCATTTTGACAGTATTCAGTATAATTCAGTAGCATCATGTATGGAAGTTGGAGCGTAACATGGCCTGGCCATAACATTGGTCTGTTGTGCGGCAGAATCGGCCCATCAATTCGGATTTTTATTTGTAATTGAAAAATAAACGGATTAATAAAAAGCGCGGTAATAATTTATCAAAATTTTGAATTTCCAAATATGTCATGCTTTGCAGTGGGTAAACTATCCATATAATTTATGTTGGCTGACCCTTTCACTTACATACAACGTACTTCCGTACATACAGTATCAGTTAGTTATTTTTTATGGTTTTTTAACGTTTGTCGGGGCAGCTAGTATATATATATATATATATATAATATGTGTGTGTGTTTTTATGTGTATTCAAATGAATGTGTCTTTATGTTTGTACATTTACGAGTATGAGAGTAGCCAGGATTTAGGCATTGAAGGCAAATTGAAAAAAGTACTACTAACTTTACAACAAATTGCAATTAAGAACAAATATATATATATATATATATATATATTTGTGTATGTGATGATGTAACACATTGTCTTTATCTCAAACGCAATTCAAGGTCTAACAGATTCTAATAATTCTCCAATCATCATGTATGTACACATTTGAGCATACACTAGGTACATACGCTTCGTAATGATGTCAATCTAATAAAATTAATTCACATTGGTTCTGAAGAGATATTTATTGTTAAAATATACGATATTAATCGTTTATAATTATTGCAGTTAAAATAGTTATTAAAGATCCATTTTATGTGTATTGAAGATTTTACCGAGACGCGTATGGCTTCTTTGAATATTTTGTAGAAGAAGAGCCAATGGTAAATTTGCTCATTGTCCTATATAGTACTAAATGGCATATTTACACTTCATATTTAAATTAATACATTTTGTAAATGAATTATTTTCAACCCCCAACACGTACGTATTGCGCGAGGGCTATGTTTCATACCTTAATTAATTTTTATATACAAAACCACTTCTTATAGGCCTATAATATTTTAAGGTGTTTGGTTTGACTATCAACCTTATCACCATGCAAAGTTTCATCAAAATCCAAGAAGAGTAAACATGAGGTTGACCTTTTGAGTTCAATGTCGCATGTATAGCACCAAAACCTTATTTTTTTTAAATTTCATTACAAATAACTGTTGCTCTATTGACAAATATTGAGCTAAGTATTTTCATGATCTTAAAATATTTTTTTTAAATTATATTATTCTTACAATCAACAGCTTTAGCCAATAAGTCTTCTTTCGTCTGCGACCTTCGATTATTTTGACTCAAAAGTTTAGATTCAAAAATTTAGGGGCTTTTGATATGCACTGTTCTAATTGATCCGATTTAATATTCTGCACATTTGTATGGATATCGCAGCTATTATCTGGCAGTAGTGATATTATATCAAAATTGTACATCTATAGGCCGATTCTGCCGCACAACATACCAATGTTATGGCAAGGCCATCTAACTCTCCGACCGCCATATCATACTGAATACTATCAAAATGTAATGTATTTGCTGTGCATTCAGGCGATTCACACATAAACTGCAACGTCACTCGTAGGTTATAGAGCTGAGTCAGAAAGACCCTGTTATCTAAGATGGTTTATTTTGGCATCTATGCGGTTTCTAGGTTAGATTTTCTATCTGATAACTTGAGAAAAGCGCTTGACTGCACAGCAACCACAATGCTTTTGTCAATATTTAGAACAATTTTGTATGAAAAGTTCTTCATAACATAGCCTTGCCATAACATTGGTCTGTTATACGGCAGTAGTCCAGTCATTATAGTAAGTTTACCTCGGAATTCGAGATACCCAGTTGTAAGTCTGTAAATACTTGTATAATGATATCCTAAAAGTTGTCTCAAAACCTACATATGGTTTTGACATTCTACCATTTGCAGGTTTTGAGATAACTTTTTGGGAGTCAATATACAAGTATTTACAGAGACTAACAGCTAGGTATCTCGAATTCCAAGATTCTTACCTAATTTAAGCTTAAATGACTGGACTTACAGAATCGATCCACTAATATATAGTTTCAAGTGAAAATGACCCTTCAATGGTATTGATGCGCCGAATTAAATCCTTAGAGTTAGGGAGATTCTAGTAATAAATCAAATATAAGTTGACCAACCGTTGTCTTCTGGAACAATTCATAAGACTCTTTAAGTTGCTGTTCAAAAACAAACTAATATTGTTTTCCTACATTTGTTTACAAATCCATTGATTCGTATTGAGACACAATGCCGTGCACGACCAGTTTCTTTATTTATTATATAAAAAATGGACTTTCGAATAGTCGTAAACAATTACGTGATGATAATAATAATTCTCCTCCAACGAAAATAGGTCGATGAGCTGTCGACTGAGCTCTCCGACGAAAACGGCGCGATGCATCTTAATGAGAAAACAGAAATGTGATTGGATCTCGAACAATACACATTGACGCGATGACTGACTTTTTTTATTGACTTTTATAAGCAGTGAAGGAAAAGATTCGTTTAAATTTGAGGCCATAATTGGTTTATATATACTTGCATGCCGTGGGCTCAGTTTAGTCTTACGATAAGATAAGTCTTGCTTGGGATGACTCTTACAATTAGACCATCAACTGTATGCGGAACTTGACTTGATCTCTTAAAGCTATATTTATGAGGTTTGTTCTAAAAATTTACCAGAAATACTCTCAATACTTAATTGAATCATTTCCTGATTGACGGTTTGTCAAACTAGTGGTGTATGACATTGTGTCAAATATTCAGGGCTCAGTTTAGTCTAACAATAAGATAAGGTTTGCTTGGGATGATAATTTGACCTTCAAACCGTATGAGAAATTTGACTTCATATCTTACAGCTATGATCATGAGGTTTGTTCTAAAAATTTACCAAAAACATTCACATTCAAAAATTTACCAACAAACATTCACTTTATTGAATGATTTGCTGATGACGGATTGTCTGAGTCCAGTTCAGATCAAACTAGTGATGTATGGCATTATGTCAAATTTTTTAGGGTTTGAAAATGAAATATGTATATTAGAAAGTTTGCACTATTATGCAAAGAATAATTTTGTTTCGATTTTTGTTTCAACTATTTATATAAAAATATATAGATATCTAATGTAAGACCTTAGACCAAGGGCCATCTAACTATTTACTTCATTTTGGATATAAAAATAAAATAGAGAAGAATTAACTTAATGTTAAAAAGTAAAACTATGAAGTGAAACTTCTTGATGTGATTTTTTTTCTTATTTTTTTTGCTGTTTTCAGTTTATTTTGTTGATCAAAACTGTAACAGTCTTAACCATGTGGAAATAAAAATGTGACTGGATAGGAATAGATTCGTAGCAAAACTCGTATTGTTTCTTTTAAACCAGCTTTATTAAATTTGAATTGTTAGGATTCTATTATTTCAATATTTCTTGCAAAAACTGTGTCAATGGTGTTTCCAGTTAGAACCAATTTTTCAGACAACGTACGACATTTCTAGACAAACTACGATATTTCTAGATGGTCTACGATATTTTCAGACTGTCTATGACAATCTCAGGCTGTCTAGGACAATCTGAGACCGTCTACGACAATCTCGGACTGTCTACGATGATCTGAGTCTGTCTACGACGATCTGAGACTGTCTACGACAATCTGAGACTATCCACAAGGATCTGAGAGTGTCTACGAGGATCTGAGAGTGTCTACGAGGATCTGAGAGTCGCTACGAGGATCTGAGAGTGTCTACGGCAATCTGGGACTGTCTACGGCAATCTCAGGCTGTCCACGACAATCTCAGGCTGTCCACGACAATCTGAGGCTGTCTACGACAATCTGAGACTGTCTACGACAATCTGAGACTGTCTACGACAATCCGAGACTGTCTACGACAATCTGAGACATTCTCACACAATCTGAGACATTCTCACACAATCTGAGACATTCTCAGACAATCTGAGACATTATACGCCATTCTCAGATAATCTACGAGGATCTGAGACTGCCTACGACGATCTGAAAATGCCTACGACGATCTGAAAATGTCTACGACATTTTGAGACTGTCCATGACAATCTGAGACGACTATTCCAATGAGAAAGAATTTGAGATCATACTGCATAATAAGATAAACAAATTAAAAATATTTTAAAACTGAAAAACAAATTGTTGATATTGAATATTAAAAGTACGCACATGTGTTTATATATATACATATATGTATGCATATGTATATATAATATATATATATATATATATATATATATATATATATATATATATATATATATACGTGTTAATCATTTATCTTATTATTATCCCAGACATAAAAAGTGTAATTTCATGTGTGACAAATTTTAGAATGTACGAACAATAAAGCACAAGATCAATTTAAAGTGCAAACAAAAAAGTGTTAAAATGTTATTTAAATAAATGTGGTAATTGTTAACAGTATTTTTTTAAATAAAAAACAACAAACATGGGATCTCCAGTAACGGAATTACCGGTGAAAGCACCGCCAAAAAAAAGAAAGGTAAAAATAGATTATTATATAAAGAGATAATTAATAATTACAACAAAACCCTGTTAAGACGATTGTGCTTGACAGTATTTTCCGTATATTATGCCCATTCAAGCCTGTTCCTTGGAAATCGTCTTGACAGGTTTTGCTGTATTTGTTTATAAAAATAACTTGAATAATTTAACACATTTTTTTTAACATGTCAGGGAAATTTATATTTACATATCATATTTTTATATTTATTTACTAAAATAAATATTAATAGCTCTGACAAATGGCTTTTTTGAAAAATTCGACTTTTTTATACTATTTTTTTGTATTTTGATTTATTTTGAAAATTTTGAACATTTTTGTAAGCAATCGCGCTGCATAGCTCATTTGAAGTCGAAATATCAAAGCGCGTAAGCGCCGCGTAGTCGTCTAGCGCGTAAACATTGGTGCGGACTCATATAAATTTACCCATTCTGTACTTATTATTATAATTTTTATAAAATATCTCATAATTCGATGTAAATATGTCTAATGTTCATTTTTGACCGCCAAATGTCATTATTTTTTACTTTTTGCATTGGATCTCCAGAGACGTTGGACCTGCCTTTATAAAAATTGTTCATTTTGTCAATACAAGTAAAATGTTTTTTTTAAATTAAAATCAGACGCCGTTATCTCCGAAACGGTTAGACCTGCCTTTGCCAAAAACTAATCTGCACGTCTACTTATCAGTAGGAATCGAATGTTTTTAGAATTAGTCAAATCAGTTGATCCATGTTTACAAAATCGCCGACAAAATTTTGTATCCGCACACACACATACACGCACACGCACACACACATACATCAATTTTTTCTAAGGTATGCCAAAATGATCAAGAACCTGTGAAACGTAAAGATCTATAAGAAAAAATCATGATCAATATATTTCTGGCACATTTCTTATTGCTATTCAAAAATTAGGAAAAAATATATTATTGGTTCGGATGTCCGCCAATTTTGGTTTTGGACCTTAAGCTTTTTTGAATTTATTCGTTGACTGTGAATCAGAAATTTCTCTAATGTAAGTATTATATTAGGTTGTCAAATATCTCCCTTCCGCTTTTTTGCTATATAATTGCTTATAAACCAATAGCAAAAAAGCGGAAGGGAGATATTTGACAACCTAATATTTTTAAACCATTGAATTTCGACAAGTTTTTTTTTATAAATTGCCAACCAAATGAGTGTCCTATCTTTAATGTGATTGATTAATTATTACAATTTCTTTAATACTGATGGATTTTTTTTGAATACCGGATAAGGGCTATTACCAGTCAAAGTTCCGATGCCGGAAAAAATTTCTAAGTTAATACCGATGCCACTACTGCTTGTTTTCCAGTCGTGTCTTGTACTTGAATGCAAGTCTTCTGATTACTTCTGTAACCGTATATATTATATATTGGAGCTTTATGGATCAGCCATCAAGTATTTGGGATATACTTGCGTGCCTCTAATATTTTTTTAAGATTTTTATTTTGTGACCTTTCCAAAAAATATATTGGTTTGAATTGTAGATCTTGTATTCAAAAACCAATATAGTTTACGCCGCGTTTCTTCTTGCTGGTTGACGTTTTCTCTGGATATAACGTTTCCAGATTAGAAAAAACATTATTCTAGGCAATAAATATCACAAATAACATTTTCAAAAAATAATATAATAACTCGACACATTTTATAACTGCGTTATCGACGTCGGTCGTTCGTTTTATCGATGAAATAACACCGTTATCAATATTTACAAACCAATAATAATATATTAATAATAATAATAAACGACAAAAACATTGTTGATAACGTTGACAAGTGCACGTTCACATTATTTATGATTAGTTGAAAATTCAATATTCTTCGGAAAAATTTTGATGGCTGGTTGTAAATTACAATATATGATAAACCTGCAAACCTGAAGGGTGAAATTCGAAGTTCCATAAAAGAATATTTTTTAAATAAAAATTTGAAAGTTATTTAACGTTTAGAAAACTTCTCTACTCTAATTAATTTAGTTTTATAAGTTTTAAGTCATTTTTAGTAGTTTCTTTGTTAGTATAAAATTTTACTTCTCGTCTGGACTATTATTTGGACTGATGGCATGTTTAATTTTCTATAAACTATTTCATTCTGCCTATTTCATACAATTTACTTCTGGCAAGTATAATAAAGGCTCGTCCGATCGATGGGCAAAAATAATCATTTCTAGTTCTTATCGAATTTCATCGAATGGCTTTTAAATTTCTGAAATTGGTCCAGCCGTTTTTGAGAAAACGAAATACGAGAGAATTCGTATTCGTATTCTAGCACACGCCGCAGAGTATTGCTCGCATGTACATATATTTGAGATTTTCCGTCGTACACAACATCCAAGTGCAAATTATCTCTCACTAACTTCAAAAACAATTTTTGGAAGGCTTCGTCTTGAATAAGGACGAGGCCTCAATATGAATCATATTATATTTAAGAAATTTACTATCAGCTTAAGCATATGTTTATGCTAATATTGGACCTGTCGCCAATTGCTTATCAGGTAATTACACTCTCTCAACAAGGAGAGGTCAAAGGCGGCTCGTCCTTTTGTCATTTGGTCAGAGAAAAATTGATGGCCAATAGAAACGTACGGGCAGCTAAGATGAAAAAATAGTTTTTCTCTTCGTTGTGGGAGAATTTTTGGAAAGCCCCGCTTTTTCGAAAGAAGAGGCGCACAACAATTCATAACATCATTCGCTAATGTATATAACATATACATTACATCTATATATATATATATATATATATATATATATATATATATATATATATATATAGGTGTTCCACTGCATAATGGTTTAACGCGCTGCGACGTGTGGAGGTGGTTGCTCTAGCAACCTGATATCATGCAGCAGCAATGTCCATTTTTACTGGAAAATATAGATAAACTAGTTTTTCTTTTTTTTCAGCCCCTGCCATATCCAAAGTCGATAGGTTTTATTGTCAGTAATGAGTTCTGTGAAAGATTTTCTTACTATGGAATGCGAAGTAAGTAAAAAATATAATAAAGTAACAAAATCATCAAACAAATTTATGGTTGTGTATAATTTTTTTATGTAGTTTATAGATTTTAATATATCTACAGATTTATTTTTTCTCATTCATGCAATATTTTGATCATTTTCTTATTGAAACTTAATAGGGCGAGTATGTTGCTCGAAACGTTTTAACGATTGCGAATAATTCTTTTAGTTTAATAAAAATTAAAAAAGAGCTCCGATTAAATGGAAATGTTATGATAATTCTATTTTACCGATCTATATTCGTATGACTTGGTGTTACGAACTGTTAAAAAGCTATGTACCTGCTGTACGATCAGGCATTTTACACATGAAACCAAACTTCACGTAAATGTTATCAAAGAGACATCAGAAAAATGCACTTATGATAAAATTCTTATTTGACGTTTGTGCGTTTTATAGGTTAGATTTGATGTATAGAACACCTGATCGCATAGCAAATACTTATGTTTTTGATAGTTTGTTACTATATACGAAGATAGACCAGTAACATAGCATTACCATAATATTTCTATTTCATCCGATATTCGCCCCTATGTCTTTGATAAGCCAATTGTATGTAATTACATAAATTTTATGTATATTATAAAATTTTTTTTAATCTTTATATTATATCAATTTTCCAGCAATCTTGGTCCTGTACCTTCGAGACAAACTCGGGTACACGGCGGACGACGCAACGGTTATTTACCATGTCTTCACGATGTTCGTATATTTCTTCCCGCTCTTTGGTGCGATGTTGGCTGACAGCTTTTTAGGAAAATTTAGGTACTATTTTGAAATGAATATTATTACTAGTTTATTTATTCAAGACTTTCTGGTAAGTCTCAAATTTGAGGCGATCACTGCTATCGATAATGTTTCTTAACCGCGATCTAAGTTACTGGTAATTAACTGTGGGGGTTCATAGAATGAACTGGGTTAACCTTGTATCCATTAATGGCGATACATGATCTCATCTTCAGGTTTTCCTGGCATGGTCCAACAATGCACAACTAAACATTAACAATTGAAACCATGGATTCGAAGTTATAAAACGCTATATGAATGAAACAGGATAAACTTTGGTTTGAGGAACAAGACTGTACTTGTGGGTACAGCCATATTCCATGCCTAGTATTTTCATCTGACTTTCAGCTGGATTACTTCTTTTGTGGCAGAACATATGCACACACAACAGTACACTTTGGTGTCCGAGGGCTGTTGCCCTTTGGGGTCGTTTAGAGTTCTTTAGATGACTGCGTAAGACTGACTAATAGTGTGAGTGCCGTCGGCTTTTGATTCTTTTTTAAATGCTGATGACCAGACTGACAGCACACTTTGGTGTCCGAGGGCTGTCGCCCTTTGGGGTTGTTTTGACCTCTTCAGATGACTGCCTCTAAAACTGACTAATAGTATGAGTGCCGTCGCCTTTCGATTTTTTTTTAAAGGCTGATGACTAGACTGACTGGTTGACTCCTAACACTCGTACTCTGTATGACGAGAATATAGTCTGGGAAGGGTTTATCCTGGAACTGTCAGCATGTATAAACAAACACAAGCTATAAGATAAATAAACATAAACATAATCGCTTTCCTGACTACAATTCCCATTTTCATTAAAATATTTATCTAATACATAAGACTATATATATATATATATATATATATATATATATATATATATATATATATATATATATGATATTTATCATAACAAATTTATATAATTATGGTTGGTATCAGTACTATTATTCATCATAAAATAATTATACTTAATATAATATAATCTTTCAAATTCTAGGACGATATTCTACGTGTCCATAATCTACGCCATAGGAAATATCTTGTTGTCTTTGACTGCCATGCCTCCTCTTGGACTTCCTGCGAGGTAATATGTGAAATCTAATACTTAATAAAAATTAAAATTGGTTTTAGTTTTGTAATTAAGACTTTCATTAAAAGTTTTTACGATATAGTTTCTCTAAATATAAACTGTTATAATATTTATAAAATAATAAGTATTATATTTTATTTATGTTTTATTTTGAATCATTAAGGAGAATTTACTTAATTATTTTAGGTCAATTGCATTTCAGTAAAGACATAAAATTTGGGCGTCAGAACGATTCGAGATTTGTGATTTTCGTGTACTTAGCAGAAAATAAATATTTACCTTGTTTTATATGAATATTTTTTATTTTTGGTCACGAAAATGCATTTTGCATGAATCAATTTATAAATATCAAAGTAATTGGCAAATAAAGTCTTCAGTTTTTTATCTCCAGCATTATTCCTTTTCCAGAGAGCTGACAATCCTCGGTCTCTTCTTGGTAGCTCTTGGAACAGGTGGTATAAAGCCGTGCGTTTCCGCTTTTGGAGGTGATCAATTCAAAATTCCTCAACAAGCAACTCAATTGGCAACATTCTTTTCCCTGTTCTACTTTGCTATTAATGCTGGTTCTTTGATTTCAACATTTTTGACGCCGGTTTTGAGAATGGACGTTAAATGTTTCGATCAGGAAGATTGTTATTCGCTGGCTTTTGGAGTTCCTGGTGTATTGATGGTTGTTTCCATATGTAAGCAGAATTTAATTGATACTAAGTAATTAATATTACTATATTTTGATTTTTTATTGATTCTTGAATTTGCTTTTTAGTTATATTTGTTGGTGGAAAATGGTTGTACGTGATCAAAGAACCTCAAGGAAACATGGTCGTACAAGTTTCCAAATGTATTGGTGTAAGTTGCTCAAAATATAAATATAACAACACACTATATAAGTATTATTATTTTATTAATATTAATATTTTTTATTACTTAGAATGCAATTAAAATGCGCAGCAAATTGAGCAAGACTGAGAAACGTGAGCATTGGTTGGACTATGCTAAAGAAGAGCATGGCGAGCAAATGGTTTCAGATATCAAAGCCTTGTTGAGAGTTTTGGTTTTGTATCTGCCTTTGCCAGTATTTTGGGCATTGTTTGATCAACAAGGATCAAGATGGACCTTCCAGGCCACCAGGATGGACGGAAAAATTGGTGGATTCATCTTGAAACCAGATCAAATGCAGGTTAGGAAGTTAGAGCTGTATAACCTTTTGGGTCTGTCACCTATAGAGAGAATCTAGTTTTACCATAATATATTAGAATCTTAGTTCGAATACCATCACTATGCGCAATTTTATAGAATTTTTTAAAAATATCTGTTTAACAATTAATCGCAAAGAAAAGGCCTGGCCAATCTTTACCAAAACCAGAACGCGGTTACCAACTGATATCTATAAACCTGAGGAAAACACTTCACACATACATATCTGCCAATTAAGAAACGGTTTGGCCGATTTGCGCTTAAAACTACTTAACGCGAGTCCTTATAGAGTTTTATCAAATGGCTTTTAAATTTTTTAAATTGACGCCGCCAATTTTGAGCATTTAACTTTTACATGCATACTTTTTATATTTTTGGTGTCAATTCAGAATGATTTGAAACGTTGATAAAGCATAAAATTAGCATATCTGATTTTTAGGCGAAGACAAACTCTTTACGGGATGTTAATAACCATTATTATATATTTATGTGGTAAGTTAATATTCCATGCTTTAAAGATTACTTTGTTTTACAGGTTGTAAATCCTCTGCTCATTTTGGCTTTCATTCCATTATTTGAATACGTTATTTACCCAATATTGGCAAAATGTAAAATTTCAAAACCACTTCAAAAATTAACATTGGGCGGAATATTAGCTGGAGTTGCTTTTCTGATATCCGGTATAATTGAATTAGAACTTGAGGTAAGTTTTTGAATAATAGTATACTGTATATTTAATGCACTAAGTAAATTTAAACGTAAATTGTTCTTTTATTATTTTAGAAAACATATCCTGTTTTACCTTCCGAAGGCAATGCCCAACTTCGTATCTTCAATGGCTTTGACTGCGATCTCCACTTAAAATTCCACGATTCAAATTCAGATTTTGCATTAAAATCTTTAGATTTATACACTGATAAAAACGTCAATGTTCACAAATCTTTAACAAAAGTGATATCATTTGATTTTCCAAGTGGTAATCCAAATTGTCCAGATGAAAAAGAGAAAGGAAAGACGTACACATTAGATATATTTGAAGAAAAAGCAAATTCTTTCTTGTACAATCGACATGGAGTTCAAGATTATGAAGATGAAGTTGATAAATCAAATACTGGATATCCCGTTGTGAGGATTTTGTCAAATACAGTTGTACAAGATACAACAAAAATTGAAGTCAGTATAAATAATTAGACACGTTTGCTGAAAATGGTGAAATATATTGTAAGTAAATGTTATATTTCAGGTCATCGATGCTGATGATGGTGATTCAGTTCAATTAACTTCTAATGCAAGCACAACAGATATGGGCACAGTTGCACCATCGAGATATAATATTAAAATTAAAAACAAGAAGGTATTCAAGGAACCAATTCAATTGGATTTGGGAGGTGTCTTTACTTTTGTTATTGCTGAAGATGATACTGGAAATTATGTGAGTGTAATCAAATTATCAAATGGTTGTAAGAAGCAATATTTTGCTTTGAGGCAAGTTGCATTAATTTTCCAATACATATGCAACGTAATCAATAAAAATTGAAATTCAGCTATTTAGGTAAAATGTTCAACTGTTTATTTGGAAATTAAAATTTTAGTTTTCACTTAATATAATAATTGGGAATAAAGTTCAACAAACAACAAAAAAAAGGTCAACAAAAGTTTAAAAATCGGCTCACATACACACCCACACACACACTTTCCAAATTTGTTCTCATTTGATTGAGACGTAGAGAAAACAAACTTAGCAAATTCGATTTTGTGGTCCAATATAAACTTATCCTTCGGGAAGTTTATAAATGATTAAAAATGAGCTAAAAGATAATGCATATGAAATATTGTACTAATTTTTGTTCTATTTTTCCTAGAAATCAAAAATGCACACATTGGCAGAACCTAATTCGATTCACATGCTATGGCTTATTCCACAATACGTCGTAATCACCTTGGGTGAAGTCATGTTCTCCGTTACGGGTTTAGAATTTTCCTTCAGTCAGTCTCCAGTTAGTATGAAGAGTGTTCTACAGGCATGTTGGCTATTGACTGTCGCTTTTGGTAATGTTATTGTGGTTATTGTGGCAGAGGCTAAAGGATTTGAGAAACAAGTAAAAATATAAATGATAGCATTTGAAGCAACCATATAAATCAATACTTATATAATTTTTTTCCACAGTCGTCAGAATTCTTCCTATTCGCCGCCCTCATGATAGTTGATATGGGTCTGTTTGTTCTTCTGGCAATGAACTACAAATATGTGATACCGCCTCCAACAGAAGATGAAGATTTAGATTTGACACCTGAAGAATTTGATGAAAGGACAGGTCAACATCCTCGACTCAGCCATGGTGATATTCCATTGAGCCATCGGCCTAGGAAGGGATCTAAGAGTTCTACTGGGCAAGAAAATAGAGCATATGAATAGAATATAATTTATAAATATTATATATAAATTAAAGATTAAAGTACGTGATTCGGCAATTATAGTCTTTGAGTTCTGAGTCAATGGAATATATGATACAGTGCAAAAATATTTTTTTTAGTTTTATAGAGAATTTATTTCACTTTACCAAAATTCTAATTCGAACATTTTATACAAGTTTTGTATTTATATTAGTAGGATTACATTTAGTTCATGATTAACTTTGTACAATTTGTAAGATATTATATAGATACTTTATTATTGTTGCATGATTGCGTACTTTAATGCATTTACACAATATGCAGTTGTGTATATATATATATATATATATATATATATATATATATATATATTGGTACTGACAAAGCATAAGATTTTTCATAAAAAGTACATTTTCAATTGGCTATGCGTCTTGTCATACTTTAGTTTTGAATGGGTGCCAACCATATATTGCATTGTTGGGATATTGTGATACTGAATAGGCGAAAAAAAACATTTTTTTAACTGATTTATATATATTATTTTTCTGGATGTTTTAGAATTCATCTACTATAAAACAAAAAAAAGAAACGCCTCAACCACACACCCTATGTATTGCTTCGTTTTTTATCAATATCAAATTAGTAAGATGAAAGATTGATATCTATTTTTATAATATTACTTAATTTCTCGTTTGTCTAAAATTGTTGATTTATCGAACAATCTTCTTTCCCCAAATACTCTAGAATGGTACTTGTATTTGCCAAAAGTATTTGAGACTTTCCTTACATATTGTTTTTGTAAAAAATAATTCAAATATATTGTTTTGTTAAAAACTGCCAAAATATTTATATCATCGTCCATTTTTATATATGGTAGTTTTTAGACATATTACATAAGGACTTTTTGGACATGTTTCATTCCCCTTATTTGTTAGTACTTACGTTTAGGTATAAGCTAAAAATATAAATGTATTATTTAATGTTATCATATTTATAATTTATATTATTATAAAAAAGCTTCATTATTAAATATATATTTTGAATAAAATTGATGATTATTAGTTGTAGTTTGTTGTAATGGCTGTGATCGAAACATAGTTTTTAGACATCATTACTCGAAAACCAAAAATTTAACAATAAGACAAAATTACAAAAATGTAACTACATTTGTTTATTTAACTCTTAACAAATTTGTCATATTGGTTTAGAACAAATTTGTTTGGATAGAAGATATATGAAGTATACATTTTTGAGGAGTAACATCTTTGAAACAGTATAAAGTTATTTTTTTTGACTGTTTTTTCTGGGGTGGAAGAAGTTTCCAATATAGTAATAAAATTACAACATTGGAATAAGTTATTTAGCGTATATTTAAGTAAAAAAGTAGAAATGATTCAAAATGGCAGTTGCGCAGCCATGTTCGGGAGTCACATAAAATTTGAGTAGTGTAGCTGGTGCAAACTTTTATACAAAAAGAAAAACAATTATTGAGCATTCTTACAGCTAGAGAAATACGTAGATATTATGTAAATATTAATTTTAGTGTAATTGGCGACTTTTTGAATTAATGAAAAATTTATAATGTTACCTGTTACTTACTTCAAATACGTCTGATGTTTATACAACTGGCGCAACACAAAATTATTTTATATTTACTGGAAATTTATAATAACTTGTAGATCAATTACAAACATAATATTATCGTAACTATTTAATTACAAAAACAATATACCTTAATAAATTTAATTTTAACAAAATATCAAAAAAAACATTTAAATTTAACTAATTTTGCCGGTTTATTTTCTAACAGTTGGCAACGCTTTGACAGCTCCTGATTGTGATGCTGTGTGCTCACATCGTTCATTTGCTTTCAGTGTGTATTTATAAACTAAGTCAGTGAAAAACATGTGAAAATAGGAAAATATTACATAATTTTAAGAAAAACTTAAATATTTTTAGTTTCGTGTTGAATTTAGTTAATTTATAAATTCATAAAAATGTCAGGAGACGTACAACCAAGAAAACGCAAAGATAAGAAGAAAAAGAAAGGTTAGAGCTCAAAACATAACCATAACAGAATTAGCTTTATCATTGTATGTTTATTTATAGATCTGAAAAGCAATGTGTAAATTAACAAAATTAGATGATTTTTTTTAATATTTGGAATTTTATTTTATTTAAGAGTTTGGTCAACTAGTTTTTGCTTTGATATAATTTTGTTAAAATTATACACCTGTTGTACTTTGTATATTTATAACTCTGCTGTTGAGCTGGTTGCTACAAATCTCATTTTAATAATTAACAGTATGAAGATGAAGTAAAAATTAAATGCACACTCAAAAATTGAATAATTATATTTGTTATTTATTTATTTATAAAGTATAAAAATATTTTTTTATTCAATTATATATATATATATATATATATATATATATATATATATATATATATATACTATATATATTAATACTAATATATATATATATATATATATATATATATATATATATATATATATATAATACTATAATAGTAATACTAAACTTTTAACTCGATTAAACATGACAATAATTAAATAGTTTATTGAAACATCTTCACATTTTATTTTGACGTATTCATTGCTTCAAAATTTGTTTCTAAAATTGTTCGCAAAATTTTTGGCGCTGATTCATTAAAAAATATTATGCCTAAATATTGATACTTCACTCAATAAGAAATATTAATATGAACAAAATAAATTATTTTCATACATTTGAACATATCAAAAAATTTGGCAAAATGCATTGTATATCAATATATTTTATTATCAACATCTGAGCGAATGTATTTTGGAATCATGATATTTGGATATATGTTAATAGACCATTTATTTAAAATTTTGTATGATATAAATTTCCCTGTTACATTTATTATCAACTTTTTAAAAAAAAAATGATTAAAAAAGTAAAATTGCGCAAAATGACAATAAGGTCTCATATATGTTCAAATTTGAACGTTGATTGCAGTTTTTGGAAATAATTTATTTTTGAGTGTATACATTTTTCAATAATTTTATCTAGATTAAAAGGAAATACTACAAATTTTGTAGTAGTAGTACAAATACTGTACTACAAATTTTGCAAATTTAAATAATCACTATCAATATAGGCCACGCATTGCGCACAGATAATTATAAATATTATTAAAAAAAACTTGAGTTGTGAAATCTTTCTAAGATATATTATTTTTAGTTTTTTTCATTTTGTTGACTAAATTTCAATAAACCAAAGTCTTAAACTTTATTTGAATGCAAACGCTTTAATTTTTTAAATTATGTTCTATTAGATTGAATTTACTTAAAGCCTAATATGAAATAAAATGAATTTATTTATTTAGTTAAATTTGGCGCCATTAAAAAGATAGATAATTCGTAGTTGCTCTAAATTTGCATTCTCATTGTCTTTTACGTTAAAATATTTCTTGACTACATGTATATGTATAATTATATGTATATGTTATATATATATATATATTATATACATATATATATATATATATATATATATATAATGGGCATATGTTAACTTAAACTTTTTGGCAACGAATCTGTTTTATTATTAGAAATATAAATTTTACTGAAATAGATTTGGCCCGGTCAAAGTCGTTATTACAATTTACCTACACTTATACCTAATTCGTTTTGTGTCATAACGGTTTGAACCCCCGCTCTGGATAACCTGATATCATGCAGTCGTGATATCAATTTTTACTTATATCACAAAATATGTTTTCAATTGAAAATAGCCCATTTTTCGGGTGTTTACATTCACGGTGTGAAATGGAAATGGGAAAAACTCTCACTCTAGGGCTGTAATACCCATTGCATGTATATTATGATTTTTAAATTTTTTTCACTAGAAGTTTTATAATTTTTTCAAATAAATTATTTATTTTATTTTTCAATCGTTTATTGTAGAAGATTTTTTATAGTTTTGCAAATTTTATGTTTTTTCTTCGCTTCAAGTCATTCTGAATCGTTTTAGACCAAAACTAGCTGTAAGTGAAATTCTGTCTTAAGGCAATTAAGGCATCGTGCCTTAAGGCAAATTGCTGGAACTTCCCGTACCGCAATTCAAAATTCGAGTAATCAATAATAATCAATAAAAGTTAAATCAATGATTTAAAACTTTTAATAGATTTTCGAACCATATTAAATCATTCTATCTTAAATCATTTATTTTAAATATTTTGAAAATTCTGAACTTTTTTTCAAAGCAATCGTAATGCTTTAACTGCATAAAGACGAAATATCGAAGCGCGTAAGCGCCGCGTCGGCGTCTAACGCGTAAGCATTGGTACGGAACCCATCGGAATGTAAACAAAATTTATACTTATTGTTGAAATCTCTATAAAATATCTGATAATTTGATGTGCATATGTCTAATGATTATTTTTGACCGTCAAATGGCTTTTTTTACTTTTTTCACTGGATCTCCGAAACCGCTAGACCTACCTTCATGAGAATGATCAGTTATCTTGTTAATACAAGTTAAATGTTTTTTGAATTATTCAAATCGGACGCTCCGTTCTCTTAAAAACTGTGTTACCGTTTTTCACACTTTTTGCACAATATCTTCGGAACGGCTAGACCTGCTTCCGCCAAAAACTAATCAGCACGTCTCCTTATCAATACGAATCGAATGCTTTTTGAATCATTCAAATCGCTTCATCCGTGATCCCGAAATCGTCGACGAAAATTTGTATCCGAACACACACACACATACACATACATCCATTTTTTCTAAGGTATGCCAAAATGTTCAGAAGGTTTTGAAACGTAAAGATATATAAAAATTTTCATTTTCGATTTTTTTGCGATTACTATAACTTGCCCTACGGGAAGTTAATTATTAACTTTAAAAATATAAAATATTATATTCGTTATTATAATTATTTGTGCACTTGATTGTTATCAAGGCAATGCTTCCGGATTTCTATGATGTCAAAATGTTATCAATGACATGAATAGAAGTCCTTTAATTTCAAATCTTTTGTATAAATATACTATATATATAAATTATATATATATATATATATTTTATATATATATATGTGTGTGTTGTGTGTGTGTGTAAATTAGGGTGGTCCTTAATATGGACATTTTCGAATTTCTTTGCTTCCAGGGGCTCAAATGCTTCCAAATTGATAAAAAAAAAATTCTATAAATTTTGGCTCTTAATATTGTTTTTTAGATAGTGCGCAATTCAATCAAAGTTTTGTATGGAAATTTTTTAGATATAACTTACAATT